CCCATTTAAACAGAGATGGCCAATGGTACATAAGGTGAAGTACAGTTTTTTTCCTTATCCGCATTTTCAAAACTTCGACAAAAATCATTAGTGGGTACACAAAATTTGATTATATGACTTACTCATAAGCAGTGATCTATAAGTAACGATACAGTAGTACTGTGTAGGTTGTGCTCTAGTTATTATAGTTAAGTATAGTACAGTTAAGTGGTACGCTTTTTTGGCCAATTTGGTACAGATGAGTTTTGTGATCTGACAAGAATTATCATCCATTCAGATTTTTCTTCAGATTAACATAATATTGGGTTGAAGATTAACTTATATTTGGGTTGAAGGATCATTTTAAAATAAAGCAATAATGAAAAGTATCATCAATATTTGACCACCTTGTGTTGAAATGATCATTATGGTATGTTTATTACTCGTATACGAAACCTCTGTAAATCAATGGTCGTATAAATTAATTTTTTAAAATTTCACCTTGTGGTGAAATGATCATTATAATTATATGTTTATTATTCGTATATGAAACCTCTGTACATCTATGGTCGTATAAATTCTTCTTCTTCTTCTTAGTTGGCCATTACAGACGTGTGTCGTCCTTGGCCGCGTCGAGTAGCCTCCGCCAGTCAGCCCGATTAGTTGCCTTCTGACGCCAGTTGGTAGTACCGAGCGCCCCCAAATCGTTGGTCACCTGGTCCTTCCACCGAAGATGCGGACGTCCTCTACCGCGTTTTCTTATTGCGGGTACCGCGTTTTCGTATTGCGGGTACCGAATCAAATACCTTTCTAGCCGGAGCACTTTCTTCCATTCGAACGACATGACCAAGCCAGCGTAGCCGCTGAATTTTTATGCGCTTAACTATGTCAATGTCGCGGTATAGCTCATACAGCTCATCGTTCCATCTAATTCGATACTCGTCGCCAACGCGTAAGGGACCATAGATCTTCCGAAGAATTTTTCTCTCGAATGCACCTAACGCCTTCTCATCACTGTTGGTAATTGTCCAAGCTTCTGCACCATACAGCAAGACAGCCATGATAAGGGATTTGTAGAGCGTGATTTTTGTTTGTCGAGAGAGGGCTTTATTTCTCAATTGCTTACTTAGCCCGAAGTAACATTTGTTGGCAAGAGTAATTCTTCGTTGAATCTCTAGGCTGACGTCATTTTTGGTGTTTAAGCTGGTTCCTAAACAAAGTCTTTCACAACTTCGAACTTATAATTGTCAACAGTGACGTAGGTCCCAAGACGCTCCGGAGATTTGTTTGTTGACAGAAAGTACTTTGTTTTATCCTCATTTACCACAATACCCATTTGCTTTGCTTGTTTTTCTAAGTTGGAAAATGCCGCACTGACGACGCGTGTGTTCAGACCAATGATATCAATATCGTCGGCATACGCAAGCAGCATTACACTTTTGTAGAATATTGTGCCAGTACGGTTTAAATCTACTGCTCGAATTATCGTTTCCAACATTAGGTTAAAGTAGTCACACGACACGGAGTCACCCTGTCTGAAACCTCGTTTGGTATCAAACGGCTCAGAGAGGTTCTTTCCAATTCTAACGGAGCTGGTGGTGTTGCTCAACGTCATTTTACATAGCCGCGTCCTTTTACATAGCGCGTAGTCGTCATAAATTAATTTTTAAAATTTGTTTCCAAGCATATTTAACATTATTTTCAGCGAATTAATTAATTGCTCATATTTAATATATACGGTATATATGTGGTATAAAAAAATTGAATGCCATAATAGAAACTAATTGCGACATATTTAAAATTGGGAATTATATTTTGAAACCTGGAATTTTTGATTTTATATCAATTCAATGTAAACACTGTTTCGGTATAAAATTTTGTAAACAAGGAAAATAATTAACATAAATTAACATTTGCAAAATGTTAATAATGAATTTATTTGTTTAAAACGCAATATACATGATATATATATATATACATAGATAAATATATAAGTATATACTGACATTAGAAATAATTTCGCGTGTCTTGAAAGAACTATATCATATACTATTTTATTTCATAGTTACTTATACATTTTGTGTGCTTTATTCCTTTTTTTTTATATGAACGTTAACTGTGTTCTCATCACATACCTTAAAGAATAACCTTGAACCTATGAAAGACCGCAGATGTAATAATCAAGTCCAAAGTTATTTTGGTTGCAATTTGTTCGCTCATCTCCAAAGTGTTGCTGCATTTTGTACCTCTTATTTATTACCAGTTTACCGTGTTCATCGGAGGACCACAGAATGAAGTAGCAAGACAACAGCTTAAGAGCATCTTCCATATACCAAAACACAGACTATCTGCAAGAATTCTTAATTTGTGTTTGGTTTCGTTGGCATCCGAGAAAGCACTCTACACTTGGCATAAAACTGGCTAATTTTCGTTTAATGGAGTAAATTTTTCATGATTTTGACAAGATTCATTTCACTTCATTAATAATTTATTATTAGTTTTAATAAACTTTTGACTCAATCCTTTGTTCTTATTTTATTATCTTATTTGATGAAATCATAATTGGCATAATTATATCTCTGCGATTTATTCACCTTAATACTTGCTCATGCACACATACATTCTTTTTAAGACTATTAAGGCTTTTAAGAGAAGACTTTTATTATATATTAATAGAAATGAACATATATAACAATTGGCTTTCTTGAAAGTTCTTCAAAGTTCTTAGTA